GCATTGAATTTTCATTTCCAAATCTTTATTGCTATCAAACCACTTTTTTCAGTTGACTTGTGAAATGACTTTGGTTTTTCTTTTTGTCTTGTTTAAATAACAGGGTGATGTTGATGAAAGTGATGGTGGGCTTACATCTCGACATCAGACCACTGCTGTACTGTCTTCAGAGTAAGTTTGTAAATGAAAGATATACCTAACTCAAATTAGTATTAATATTTAGTTATCTATGGAGTTTGCTGTTTAGATGTCTGTTTCCCCCCAAGAACTCTGAAAGCTTGTGGGATATTAGGATTCTCAGGTAAGCCTCTACACACTGCTATACACCCTTACATTTGCATATATTGTAATATATATTCAAGCTGGCCAACTGCATCAAAGTGATCCTTCTTTGGCCAGTTCCTACTCTACTGTGCACAATGCCAAATACTTACTAGCTCATACCATACTATATTGCACATATAGTGGCAAAATCAGAAAACTAATATCACTTTTTTTTTTAGGAAGGAAATGATCCGACAGATGATGACTCACATATTCCGCTGTATTGAACCAGAATTGAACAACCTTATTGCCCTGGGAGACAAGATTGACAGCTTTAACTCTTTGTATATGCTTGTGAAGATGAGTCACCATGTGATGACGGCAGAGAATGTCGATTCCGCCTCCTTCCTCAGCACCACACTTGGCAATGTCCTGGTTACCGTGAAAAGGAACTTTGATAAATGCATTGTAGGTGCCATTTCTGGTCTTGGCTGTAGTTTCCATGTTATGTCTTAGGCTGGGTCCACACCTGGGCGTCTCCTATGTGCGCGTTTTTTCCGGACGTTTTTTGAGCGTATTGTCTACCGTTTTCGCACGTTTTTTCACACTTGAAAACGTGCGATGTACGCACATTTTTTAATTGACTACAGAGGCGTCCAATGAAAAAGAATTCCAGTCTTAACTGAGGCGTCCAATGAAATAGACTTCCTGAGACGCAGCATTTCCTTTTCCTGTTTCTTTGTTACAGAGGAGAGTGTGTTGTGTGCAGTGTGTTATGGAGCTGGGCAAACGATGACGAACTGCAGCAGTAGTTGCAGCAGTGCATCTTATGCGTTTGAGGAGAAGGAGACTGAGCAGGCGAGACTGAGACTTAGAGCCCCTGGTTCTCAACTGGTGGGTCGTGGCTCTGTGTGCAGTGGGTCACCGAATGCCTTTCACTTTTCTAGGTGAGAGGCTCCTCTGCCTCCCCTTGGCGAATCACTGTCGGTTCTCACGCCAAGCAGCAATTCAAAATATGCTGCTCGGAACCGAGTGTCAGCTTGATGTTGTCTGGGATGGGGCTATGGCCGTGAGGGAGCTCCATCCATACATGCATTGCTTACAGTGCCTTCATGTGTCCTATAGAGGTGTTGGACCAGAGTGACATCACATTCTGGCTCCCGGCACCTCTACAGGGTGTGCAAGGTAGCTGTACGAGCAATGCACATATGGATGGAGCTCTGTCGCAGCTCAGCTGCCCACACTGGACCCCAGGCTGAGGATCCACTCCAGTTCTCGTAAGGTAGGGAGACTGGGTGGACCTTTAAAAAAAATAACATACAATTAAAACATTTTTGGAGTGTGTATGTATGTGTGAGAATGTCTGTGAGTGTGAGATTGTGTCTGTGGTTATGTGTATGTCTGTCAGTGGTTTGAGGGCCGGTTCACACTAGTACAGTGCATTAATCACATGGTACCGTGCGATTAAAGCACTGTACCACGCAATCGCACCTACCACGCGTTCTGGTGTGGGAGGTGTTTTGCCATTCATTTGAATGGTACCCCAAATACACCTCACACACCATAACGCTGTGCGCTCCATTACAGTGCAACTTGGGTCGCGAATTACTGACCAATGACAAATAATGGGTTCTGAGGTTACACAAGTTGAGCACCACTGTCTTAGAGGAAAAATACAAATTAATATATTGTAGCTTATCAGTTCATTGATGTGGTTACTGCATTAGTTTTCTTTTCTAGGCTTTCTCCCTTTATTTTCATCTGCAAATACCATACGTCCTGTCCTAGGTGGCTACGCTCACTCACTTCACAGTATCGATGGTAGTTACCTTTGTTTAGGACTACAAACACATCTTTAATCTTGCTCTGTATACTCTACTCATTATTAATTTTAATTTAAGTTCTTAGTACATGTTGTAAGATCAACAGATATATTACATGTTTCTGCTGCAAGGAGATCTGGTACAGACCTGTATAAATATTGAGATCACTATGTAAGTTACTTAAAGAATAACTGTGCTATTAGTATAGTATTTAGTATAGTTATCCTTTAACTATACCCCTAACACTTGCCTGTCTCCACTCCATCAGGATCTTTGCTGTGTGGCCCACTGGATAGTTTCTGCTTGTACAGTTTCCCATCTTTACTCTTCAGCACATGCATGCTATAATATACCGTATGTTTGTTGCTATCAATATGTCATTATTGTTAGAGGAATAATAACGGACAGCCTTCCACAGGAATAAACATGTACTTTATCATGTCCCATAATTTGATCTAATTTTCCCATTTTTACAATTGATGCTGATGTGTGCACAATATTCCACTCTTTGTATCTTGCAGAGTAACCAAATGAAGCAGATGGAGGATGTTAAAATCTCAAAGAAGAGTAAGGTTGGCATTCTTCCATTTGTATCTGGGTTTGAAGAGTTTGCTGAACTGGCCGAGTCAATCTTTCGAGGATCTGAGAGACGCGGAGATTTAGATAAAGCTTATACAAAGCTGATTAAATCAGTTTTTATCAATGGTAAGAAGTTTTTCTATTTCCAAATATAGTTTTTTTATATCCCATTCGCTCATAAATGTCATAAAAAGCCTCTGTGTTTTGGGACAGACCTGAATCGATGGCACCTGAACCTCTATTACCTGGCCTACTTTGATGTAGTGGTAGCGCATGTAGGTAGTATTGGAATTGGAATGATGAGCCAGACAAGAATCCTGGTCCTTGCAGTTGGGGTTGGGCATCGCATTAACAATATCTACTAGCAAGTGCTCAATATATTTTATTTTTTTGGCCTTTTATGAAGCCACTCTCCTCCTTGTTTGTGTATGTGACACAAGGACATGAAATGAATGGGATGGGGGTCACTGGGACAGGAAGGCATGCATGACAATGACTACTTCTTACCATTTTCTGTAATGTTGGCTGCAGTTGGACTTTAGCACAATAATGAAAATAGGAAAGAGCAAGCAAGTAAAACGTGAAAGTCACTTCCTGCGTTAGTATATCAGTGTTTTTCTCTTCTGAATTTTTGGAAAAACGTTCTCGAAGGAAAACACACCTGCTTGCTGAGAATGCACAATTGTTTTTCATGGAATAATATGCGCCCATTCATTCTGGTCACAGTGTGTCCATCTCTGTATAGCTATGGCGGGGACATTAGGCTGTAAACTCTGTCAGGTGAAGACACGGCAATGGTCCCTGCACTCTGATCTTTAATCAGTGATTATTAACAAGTGCTTCTTTATTTCTTCTAGTTGAAAAAGTTGCAAATGAAAGCCAGAAGACTCCCCGGGATGTAGTTATGATGGAAAACTTTCATCACATCTTCGCCACTCTGTCCCGTTTAAAGATTTCTTGCATGGAAACAGAGAAGAGGGAAGCCAAGCAGAAATACAATGACCATCTGCAGTCATATGTCATATATTCTCTAGGACATCCACTGGAAAAACTAAATGTAATGTTCTTTCCTTTCTACTTTCTTGCTCCAATCAGCTTTACAAATGATGCACTGCAGTTTTAAAGAGTGTATCTGTGGCGCAACTTTCTTTTTTGCACGCAGGCGCATCCGACGCGTGTTTGGATTGTATGTGCGTGCATATGGAAAGCGGGCGGAAAAAAAATGCGCATTTCCCTCTTTATTTTTTTTGTTACTTTCATTTTTTTTTTTTTTAATGCGATCACGTAGGAGAGATCAGCGGCTAGAAGCTTGCTGATCCCCCTCCGATCTGTCAGGGGAGACCCACTGTGCCGGTCCCAAGCCCACATGGGGGACAGCGAAGCCCGGGGAAGCTGGTGGGGAGGGGGGGCAGCATGCATTCCGCCTCAATACACAAGCGATCTGGCGGCTGTATAGATGTTTTTCTTTTTTTTTTTAAGAATCTTTATTTTCAGTATAGAGATGTTAAACAAATCTTAATGGGAGTGCTGACTACAAAAAAGCTGAAATTCCACTCTAAAGGTTTTAATATCCCTGCTCAGCACTTGATGAAAACATTGAAAAGCTTTGCAAAGCCTGCTGTACACACTGCTGTTATACAGGCTGAAAAACCCATGCAAACATGAATTGGTCATTTTGCAGGGAAGCACACAGCGGCTGCCTAAGACACTGGTGCAGGCTTCATGTAAAGGATCCAACATAACATAGGTTTTCATGATGTGTAAAGAAATGACATAATTTTTTGCTTTTCTTCTAGTTTACTTTTAGCTGCAACTTTCAGCCTCATGTAAAATGCTGCAGCCACGCGAGTGCTGGGGTGGTGCAGCCGAAAAAGCTTTTATTTTTTTGCTCCTTCTTTATGTGGAAATGTTACACTGTTCATTTTAATAATGAATATTGTTTATATCATGTCAGACATTCTTTGAAGGGGTAAAAGCTCGCGTTGCACAAGGAATTGGCTATGAAGAAGTAAGCTACCAGCTGGCGTTCAGTAAGCAAGAACTGCGCAAAGTCATAAAGGATTACCCTGGTAAGGAGGTAAAGAAAGGTCTGGATAACCTCTACAAGAAGATGGACAAGCATTTATGTGAGGAGGAGAACCTGTTACAGGTAACTTTTTTTTTTGCTCCTCAAAACTTTGAAATGTTTTCCTGATCCAGCTTCCCCTCTGTAATATCCCAGTGTCGGTTCACAATGAACACTTCAAATGCTCTGCATGACGCTTGTGCTATGCGTGTCCGATGCCTATTATGTGATTCAGAATTTCAGCATTCACCCAACCTATGACAATGGCACTGTACTAATTCTTGTTTGCAGAGGCAACTCAGTCTTTTCTTAAAGAATATCTGAACCTAAAAACAATGTTCTATATTGCAGCTTAGAAGTCTTTAGATTTGGTACCTGCATTCATTTTCTCTTTTTTCCCCCCTATATTTTTACTTTAATTTTGGAGGAACAGTATTTTCAACCTAGGCTGGTGGATTTGGACTAGAAAGACACCCCATCTAAGGACTTATAAGCTGCAATATATTGCTTTTCAAGCACATACATATACAGTACTTTAATGTTATGCTGGAAAATAAAACATTTTTTGTTTTGTCCTGTGCCTGGTCCAAACCTGAGCTCCCCTGAACACGGAAGGAGCTCCCCTGAACACGGAAGGAGCTCCCCTGAACACGGAAGAAAGCCTCTTCTGTTGCTGCCCAATCAGCTGCTAGTGGGGAATTCCATGCCCGCATCTGCATGTAAGCAAAGGGGCAGGATACATTGCTTACATTAACCTTATATGGACACACGGCCTTGTTTGATCAGTGACATTTACCTAATATGGCCATGTGACCATATAAGGCACAGCTGATTGGGTGGGTGGCTGCAGGAGCTCAGGTTTGGACCATGTTCAGTGCTCATCTCATCCTTAGTCCGAACCTTCAATAATGCCATCAGAGATTTGACGAGTGCCATTTGAAATCTTTTTTGGTTTTGGAATAAATGCTGTTTTTCGAACAAAAGCCACATTCACTGTTAATTTTGTTTGGTCGAGAAAAATGTCCATCCTGTTCCTTCGATTTTGTTTTTTGTTTTTTCTCATCGCTACGATTGAAATCGATCAGCAATTTGTCCCCATTAACTATTAGGATATAAAAGGAACATTTCAAACGTATCTTTTTGAAAAAAATTCTACTAATTTGATGTATGGCCAGCTTTAGCATAAGAGGAAGGCAACTAGCATAGTCAGGAGGAGGTCAGCAATTGCAGCCCCCCTGTTCATCTCATGACCAATTTTTTTAAATTAGGCACTTGAGTTGGTCTTGTTCCAAATAGTCATGTGCTATAAGAGCATTGCATTTTGAAGGTAAATAATGTCATTGTTCATGGTAATCCTCATACTACAATAACAACTCACAGTGACCTTGGATCTGAGAAATGGCCAATCCATGTAGGCCAATTTAATACCATGCGTGGAATGATCTTGCGTGTGCTGTTCTACAGTCTGTTTTTGTCATTTTGCCTCTTCCAGTTTGTGTATTCCTAATTTTAGGCATATGTTCTATTTTCTCTCCTTCCCCAGGTGGTCTGGCACACTATGCAGGATGAGTTCATCCGTCAGTACAAGCACTTTGAAGGTCTGATTGAGAAATGTTACACCGGTGCTGGTATTACTATGGAATTCACCATCCAGGACATTTTGGAATATTTCTCTAGTATTGCGCAATCTCATTAGCGAGTTGGCGTGTAGTAAAGATCAGAGAATAAGCACTTTATGTGTCATTTATATACAAGGATATAAGAGTGGTGGAACTATCTTTGAATGGACAACAAGGAAGAGTGGTGACCGGCATAAATGTAGCACAAACATAACATGAACTAACTACATTTAAGCCAACTATCATTGTTTAATGCTGAACCAGGCAAATCGCAACGCTACTCGGTGTACTGCAAGTCTTATAAATAACAAATACATAAGCTAAACAAATTTGCCAGCTCTCCAGCTAATGAGGATTTAAAATAACATTAATGCAGTGATCTGTAATTTCACATCTAAAATCTAGAAGTGTCAGTATCCATGATCCACCCCTTTGTTAACCTGACACGTGGTTACACACCTTTTTTTTGGATTATCCATGCTATGATAAAAGTCTTTAGAATAACTGCACCACACAGAAGATCCTCATTTATTTAAATCTGTACATAACTAGTAGGAGGCTATGCACAGAGAAGAAACAGTAAACTGGCTGAACGTTGACAACACTATTGTGTAACATGCTTACACCATGTACCCAGTTGCACAAGTTGACAGTAGTTCATGTATGTGTTGCTTTGATACATTATGCAAGACTGCGTGTTACTAACAAGCAAAGGGTCTCCTTCTGAGGATGTGTCATATGTTCATACAAAGACCCGCTGCTCTGATTTCTGTTTATGAAAGGGATTTTAAAACTACTAACGCATATAGTGGATAAAGCAGTGGTGTGGGTGGTTTTATAAATAAGCTAGGTGGATGTATTCCAGCTGACCCTTAGACATCTATACTTTTGAGTAGATGACCATTGGCTGCCAAATACCATATTGAATGAAGGTGGAAATCTGCTAAATACACTGCCTGTCCAAACTAAGAGTTGCACACTAATATTTTATTGGACCGTCTTATGCAGTGTCCCAACATTTATTTCCGTCTATTCATTTTTCCCCAAGATCATGTAGTGATAATGGGAGAGTCTAAAACAAGTCTTCTCCAGCGCATTCCAAAGATTCTCAATGGGTTTAAGGTCTTGGTTATGGGGTGGCCAATTCATGTGTAAAAATTCTGTCTCTGCACTCTCACAATTTGAGCCCAATGAATCCTGCGCCATTGTCATCTTGGAATGGAAAAACCTGGTCATTCAATATATTCAGGTAGGGAGCTGACCACATTTTTTGGGCGCATAACATTGCTGAACCTAGACCTTTTATCCAATGGAAGGCTTCTATCTGTTTGCTTAGCTAAATCCAGGTGATGTATTTTTTTCTTTTTTTTTTTGGACGGGCAGTGTATCCAAGTACGTGTGTATATATACACACACACACACACACACACACACACACCCTAGCCAGGAGGGTGACACCACTGTTCACTACTGCAGCTTCTTGTGTGTTACCTGCTTGCTCATCCAACCAAAAAAGAGCATAATAACAATGTCCTGCTTCCTGTCCTCTAGGCTGCCTAAACTCCTCCTCCTGCAGCTCCCACTGCCCGAAAACGTGCTAGATAGGTTTATAATAAGGATATTTTTATTTTTGCCAGGGTCTTTACCTTTATTTCCGATAAGCACTTTGCTTCTTTTTTTTTTTTACATGGGTTATCAATTTATTTTTGCTACTATTAAATTACTGTGATGCTATTTCTTGTAATGACCTACAACATATTTGTACACTGGGCTGTCTTGTTTCTCTAAAGTTGGCAATGATTTGCCGTGTCTTCAGCTTAAGAGATGGATATTGAATGGAGTGAGGATAGGATCATATGTTATTCTATGAATATCTCATCTGTAAAGCAGAACTTGTTTCTTGCATGAACCTTCCAATATCCTTTCTTTAAAGAAACACTTGAATGTGTTTTCCAGTTCTTAACTTGGTAGAATCTCAAAAAAGTATTTATACTGTTATATATGCCCCATTCAACGGCTTGTGGGCCATGTGTGGGCTCTGAATTTCAGTGCCTGAATTCCTTCTGAATGATATGTCCACCATCACTACTACAGGCATTGTGTAGGCAGAATACAAGCGGAATGCTAGAGGGTTATCATTAGTAGAGTTGTGTGTTTCACTCCTTAGTACCCTTAATAGAGAGTTGGGAAGTTGTAAAAGACATTACAGTGAATACAGAGCAGTATGTATCTACCGTGTTTCCCCGAAAATAAGACACTGTCTTATATTTTTTGGGGCCCAAAAAAACGCACTAGGTCTTATTTTCGGGGTAGGTCTTATTTTAATTTTTTTTAATGTATAACAATCCAAAGTTAATGCAAATCCTAATTAAATAATCCAAAATGGCTAAGTTAAGAATAGGGTGATCAGGGCAATCAGGGGTGCCATACCTTTCCATTCATTGGCACCGCTGATTCTCTCCCGCAGCTCTTCAGGTTCCGCCTTATGCCACCACCAGACCTGCCAATGGTCACAACTAGGTCTTATTTTCGGGGTAGGTCTTATATTTTAGCAATTCCCAAAAATAGTACTAGGTCTTATTTTCGGGGTAGGTAATATTTTCAGGGAAACGGGGTATGATGGCTTTAAATGCAGCCTGTTCTTGGTGTTTGTAATTGCACCTCTGAAATGGACAGTGTAAAACCGCATTAAAAAAGTTCCAATCTTCTCTCAATTTCCTAAATACTTCCTGTTCACTTTGTGACATTATTCTTACAATTGATCTGAGATAAAATCACATTTCATTCATTTATTTGGCCTGTCACAACCTCTTTACTGCTTTTTTATGTTTGGACATGGCACACAAGCTGGTAGGTATTGGGGATCTCTATAGCTGGTGCCATTTATTTGCCAAATCCTTGTGTCAGTTGAAGTTCACTTAAGGGCACAAATGTTTAACACTGGCAGCTGGTTGGCTTGGGTTGGTCAGTCACTGTTAAGCTGACCATAGAAAAATGTATGCTAAGGTTGGCTATTGTGCAGTCAGATCCATTGAACAATTAGATCTAGCAAATTTTATCAAATTGTGCACAAACCGAGGGTGGAAGAAAGGAGGGAGCAGCTGAAAATGGTGTCGAAATGTGTACACATTTATCCTTATTTGCTTTAAAAACGCTGTTCTTATTTAAACTTGTTTTCGGTGGGATTTGTATCTTGTGGAATATTGTACATATTAAAAAAAAGGACTACAAATCTTATTTTGTCTTGGTCAGCTTTATATTTTAAGAGATAAATATCGATATTTTAATTCCGCTACGTAGTTGTTGATTCGGCTATGTATTTTTTAAATTATCTTTTACAATTCTGTAGGTTTCTTATAATCCTTTTTTTTAACTTTTGTATTATTTTTTCATCATTTAGACTGAAACCTGGGTGCAGTCCTTTTCACTGCCAGATAGGCAACATGGACTTAAAGTAGAACGATAAAATTACATACAGTATGTGATGTAGGCTGCCCATACTAATAAGACTGGGTTTTTCTAAGAAGCCCCCCGGAATATTCTGTAAATACCTGTTGATTCTGCCAGTAGAGCTATAGAATAGGCACTTCTTTGTGCAGGGTGACAATGCTCTTCCTTCTGCAGTGAAATCTATACACCAGGGGCGCCTACAATTTTTCGTCCGGAGATCTACTTTTCAAATGACGAGCTCAACGAGATCTACCAACCAAAAAACACTTGCTTTGCGATCTATTGGTAGATCGCAATCTACCTAATGGGCACCCCTGCTATACACCATTGTCACTCTTGCTGCTGCTTAGTTACTGGCGCCATTAATAGCCCTGTTACTGAATAGCAGTACTTAGATCCACCCTCTGCTCTTTTGGTTCACCACATATAGATCTACAGGTGAAACTCGAAAAATTCGAATATCGTGCAAAAGTTCATTTATTTCACTAATGCAACTTAAAAGGTGGAACTAATATATGAGATAGACTCATTACATGCAAAGCAAGATAGTTCAAACCGTGATTTGTCATAATTGTGATGATTATGGCTTACAGCTCATGAAAACCCCAAATCCACAATCTCAGAAAATGAGAATATTGTGAAAAGGTGCAATATTCTAGGCTCAAAGTGTCCCACTCTAATCAGATAAATGAACTTTTGCACGATATTCTAATTATTCCAGTTTCACCTGTATATGTAGGAGCCTAGTGAAATAATGTAAGCACCCTGCTCATTCCCTCTCATTCCCCTAGGCACTGCCTGGCAGCGTTCATAGGACGTCTGACTTCCCAGCTGCATTTACTATTAAAAAAAGTCGTACATTACATTTCTTTAAGACATTTAAAATGTCAATTTGCAATGGAAATGCCTATTTTATCATTGTGAGAGGAAAAATCTAGAGCAGCCTTCCTCAGCCAGGGTTCCTCCAGAGTTTTCTAGCGGTTTCTTGAGTATTGAGCAATTTCTGCCTCTCAGATACGTAACCACTGACACCAATGATATTTTTAGCTATCTCTAAGGGGGGATTCTTCCTACTAACCACAAATGTAAGGATCATTCTTCCCAATGACCATCACACTAATAATCAGTTAGCTGTAGTTATAATAATTATTAGCAGGAGTTCCTTCAGACTGGAAAGTTATTTCAAGGGTTCTTCCATGTTGGAACGGTTGATAGAGGCTGATCTAGAGGCTTTAGAGTGGGCCAAGCATCCGGTATTATTTTCCATGATAATTACATGCATGCTTAGTAATGTGTACATGTGACTCTTACAGGTATTCATTACCTCTCACAGAGATACTCCTTGTGACAATTGCTTCATTTTATCTTTCTCTGCAGAAGAATGACGCAATCTTTGTTCAGGTATCATCCAGGATCAGCATCTATCTCCTGGACTGAGATACTGACTCAGATGACTCGGTTATGTACCCCTTGCTGCCTTTGCAGTTCTCCGCTGTGTTCACAAATATCTGCCCCAGATCTGCCCCTGCTGCAGCCTCTCACCTTGTGATGGACTACAATCTCATGTTTAGTTTACTCATTTGTATTGAGGTTTTAGTCCATCAAAGGAGTGAGGTTGGAATAGTGACAAATTTACAACACATACAGGGACCATGGGGAAGAAAAGTAGCCACCCTCTAGAAGGAAGGACGGTGTCAGCACCAATTCAGAGATGATTTGAGGATCTACAGCCGAGTGATACACAAATAAGATACATTTTTGTTAATGGTTATGGTCAC